TGTCAAATAGGCTTGAAAGCGCACTACTATTAAGTTCAGTATTATTAAATAGATATATGTATATATACATATAAAATACTTAACCTCGTATATATATTCTATATATCTATATCTATACAAATATATATACATACATACATATATATATACATATAATATGTATGTATATATATTTGTATAGATATAGATATATAGAATATATATACGAGGTTAAGTATTTTGATGTGATAATATGAAGTCTAAAATAAAAATAACTAATTCTAATTCTCAATTTTTTCTTTCTGTTTACACTTCTCTCTGCTTACACCATAGTCATTTTTCATATTGTTGAACTCCATTTGTAAATTTCAGATTTATTGTTGGATTTTTCTTGTTGTTTATAATCATGCTACGTTCATCTTTATCAGATCATGCTTTTTCAATTGCCAGTCCTTGCTGGCTTAAACACAGAACCTGTGTGTTTATATTTTCTAATGGTTTATAGTTCTCTTATGCATTTGTTTTAGCAATTTTAAAGTTGTTCAATGTACCTAAGTTATACAAAATTATTACTTGCTTTCTTGTTTCAAGTGAAACACTTTATGAGCCTATTTTAGTATATTTCATACATCTAAATTGCAAGATTATTAATAGTTAAAACTTTTTTTCTTGGCCAAGAATTCATTACATTATCAATAAGAATGAATTTCATTACTAAATTTCATGCCCAACTTAATTAGCAGATTTGTAATCAGGGGCGCAATTAGTGGAAAACTATTCATTTAAGTATTGTTTTCACTTTTTTTTGTGTGTGTTTTAACATTTATATATATATATATATATATATATATATATATATATATATATATATATATATATATATATATATATATATATATATATATATATATATATATATATATATATATATATATATATATATATACAGTCTTCTCCATTTAGCCAGCACTTTTGCGCTCAAGTTTTTTTGCACTTGCAGCATGTAACAAAAACTTTAGCAAGCGCATAAAAAAGTGCTCATCAAAAAAGTAAAAGCGTTTTGTTTTAATATGCAACAAAACTTTTTTGTTCATTTGTTCAACTTTTATGAAAAAATTACTTTTTTTTACTAGTGTTTTTTTAAATTATATTATCTACACTGCGCGACATAATGATAAGACACCCCAAAAATATTTATAAAACTCTACTATACATTTATATTTAAAAACTAACTTTTATTGTAAATGAGAACAAAAAGGATTACAAAGCTAAACAACATTTAAAAAAATTTATTTTAAACCTAACTCGCATTTTATTAAAAAACTATTTTTTTAGTGCGACAAAATTATAAGACACTTTTGGGAAAATCTCATATAAATAATCATTTATCTAAAAAAATGTCTCAATTTTAAACAATCAATAATAGGTACTTTTACCATTTTTTTGAATTACTTCAATCATTCTAGAAGGTAAAGGATCATACAACTTGAAATGTCAATTGCATCCCATGCAGATGCGATGGATGATTTCAAGTCAGCTAGTGAACTATATTGTTTACCACCTTTAAACACTATATGTAACAGCTGTGCCCAAACATTCTCAATAATGTTCAGGTCTGGAGATCTAGCTGGCCACTTCAATGTTTTAATTTTACTGCTGTTGAAATATTCCTTTATTATTTTAGCTGTATGAAAATAAATTACACCACCAAAATAATTACACCACCGCCACCCATTTGACGTTGGTGCTGTGTTACTGGTTCTTTATGCAAATCGTGAAAATAATAATTCCATCTATTTTTTGTCAGAAAATACTAATTGTTGCCACTCTTCATTCCATGTTATGTGGTTTTGGCTGAAGCTTTTTGTGTGAAATGTGAAAAGCATTATAACTTGCTAAATTGTAGGTAAATTAACAATCACACCTGCTTTTGCAGCAATTTGACGTTCAGTTAATGAAGAAATTGAAGCTTGTCTCAACAACATTCACCTATTACTGTCACTTAATGTTGATGGATGTCTGGAACTTTTTTTTACTCCATACATATGAGGACTATTAACGTAGTTTTTAATCACAGTACATATATATATATATATATATGCATATATATATATATATATATATACATATATATATATATATATATATGTATATATATATATATATATATATATATATATATATATATATATATATATATATATATATATATATATATATATATATATATATATTTGTATATATGTGTGTGTATATAGCAGCCATGGCAGGGTGGTAGCAGTTATGGCATAATGTTAATATGTACATTTATATATAACTAATTTAACTGATTTAATAATTTAACCTCCCCTCTCTAAAGGTTCCAGAGGGGACCACTATTTTAGCCATTGCAGTCAAATATATATATTTTTTAATTTATAACTTCTTCTAAACCTTAAGCTGGTAAACACAAACGTTTAAACAATTAAAACAATAATTAAAATTAGCTTTGTTAAACATTAAATATAAAACAGTAAGTACACTTTATTAGCTTCATTTGAAACAAAATTTGTTAAACAGTCTAAACAGTGAATAGATTTCATTTGTTGAGCAATACTGTAAATACATATTGTATTTACAGTAAATGAAGTGATGACAAATGAATAATAAATTAATGAACAAAATTATGATAATAAGTAAAAGTCTTTGTATGTAAACTTTCTTTATATAAAATTAGCCTCACAAGTAAGACAAGATGAGCCACCATCACCAACAAACTTTAGTTATTATTATTGTTTCTAGATAAAATAATAAAAATTATTATAAACTGTTAACCTGTGGTAGCATTGAATTTTAAGAAGAAAAACTTGCAGAACTTGATATATATATATATATATATATATATATATATATATATATATATATATATATATATATATATATATATATATATATATATATATATATATATATATATATATATATATATATATATATATATATATATATATATATATATATATATATATATATATATATAATCATTGTCCAATGTTTTCCTTTTGGTATCTTCCTTATGGTATTTGAGGTATTGTAAAAAACCGGGTTTTGATAATGGGTCACTTTTGATAATGGGTCTTTTTTATATACGCTAATATGAATACTAATGTGTCATTATAAAACTTGGTCGTTAAGATTTAATGTGATTTCAAGGTAACATACAAATATCAAGTTGCACTGTATTGATATAAGAAGAATTTTCTTTTAAATATATTATCAATATTTTTTTTAATGTTCCATTTGAAAACCACTAATATTTTCAACAATTTTTTTTGCGAAGAGAAGAAATTAGCAATATCAAAAATAATAAACTTATGGAATTTAACCAGTTTATAGTACATTTGCTTTTTTTTCCACTGATAGAGTTGAGGTATGTTCACAAGTTCAAAATATTTATTGTAAGCTATAACCTTACTCTGTCAATCTCATGTTTTGCAGGGTAATAAATGGACAGTTAAATTATTAAATCAGTTAAATTAGTTATATATAAATGTACATATTAACATTATGCCATAACTGCTACCACCCTGCCATGGCTGCTATATACACACACATATATACAAATATATATATATATATATATATATATATATATATATATATATATATATATATATATATATATATATATATATATATATATATATATATATACATATATATATATATATATATATATTTGTATATATGTGTGTGTATATAGCAGCCATGGCAGGGTGGTAGCAGTTATGGCATAATGTTAATATGTACATTTATATATAACTAATTTAACTGATTTAATAATTTAACTGTCCATTTATTACCCTGCAAAACATGAGATTGACAGAGTAAGGTTATAGCTTACAATAAATATTTTGAACTTGTGAACATACCTCAACTCTATCAGTGGAAAAAAAAGCAAATGTACTATAAACTGGTTAAATTCCATAAGTTTATTATTTTTGATATTGCTAATTTCTTCTCTTCGCAAAAAAAATTGTTGAAAATATTAGTGGTTTTCAAATGGAACATTAAAAAAAATATTGATAATATATTTAAAAGAAAATTCTTCTTATATCAATACAGTGCAACTTGATATTTGTATGTTACCTTGAAATCACATTAAATCTTAACGACCAAGTTTTATAATGACACATTAGTATTCATATTAGCGTATATAAAAAAGACCCATTATCAAAAGTGACCCATTATCAAAACCCGGTTTTTTACAATACCTCAAATACCATAAGGAAGATACCAAAAGGAAAACATTGGACAATGATTATATATATATATATATATATATATATATATATATATATATATATATATATATATATATATATATATCAAGTTCTGCAAGTTTTTCTTCTTAAAATTCAATGCTACCACAGGTTAACAGTTTATAATAATTTTTATTATTTTATCTAGAAACAATAATAATAACTAAAGTTTGTTGGTGATGGTGGCTCATCTTGTCTTACTTGTGAGGCTAATTTTATATAAAGAAAGTTTACATACAAAGACTTTTACTTATTATCATAATTTTGTTCATTAATTTATTATTCATTTGTCATCACTTCATTTACTGTAAATACAATATGTATTTACAGTATTGCTCAACAAATGAAATCTATTCACTGTTTAGACTGTTTAACAAATTTTGTTTCAAATGAAGCTAATAAAGTGTACTTACTGTTTTATATTTAATGTTTAACAAAGCTAATTTTAATTATTGTTTTAATTGTTTAAACGTTTGTGTTTACCAGCTTAAGGTTTAGAAGAAGTTATAAATTAAAAAATATATATATTTGACTGCAATGGCTAAAATAGTGGTCCCCTCTGGAACCTTTAGAGAGGGGAGGATTTAAATATTAAAAATAAAAACAACTTAAAAAGTGTCGTATGTGGTAATTATTATTTTTGCTCCAACCCTTTTGCATTGCATTGCATTTTGTTTTTCTTTAGATCAAAATAATAAAATAATTATAATTTCTTTTTAGAAGAATTGAAAGGTCTTGACATTGTAAGCACTTTTATTTATTTCTTGTTTTTTTTTTTAAATATATGAATTTGTTATATGTTTACATTTTTATATATCTATATAATTAATATAAAAATAAATTTTTTATTTTATTATTTTGTTACATTTTTTAATAGAATTTTATATAAAGCAAAATGTCTATTTTTATTAAGACTATATATATATTTTTTTGTGGTTTAAAGGGATTTTTTGAGGAAATTGAAGATATGAAGTACGCTCTGCAGCAATCTTCTAAGCTGAATTCTCATTATGAGCTTGTATTGAAGCGTTTATGTAAACAGTTTGGATTACACTATGAAACTACATTAGAAAACCAATTAAAACATTAAAAATAATAGTTCACAAGTTTTTATTATTTATTTTAAAGTAAATTGAAAAGAAAAACAGTTCAATAAAAAAGCATTTTTTAGTTTTAACTTTTTTTAATTTTTAACACCTACTATTTTACAATTTATTTTTTTGCATTCTTTTAATTTAAAACATTTTTTTTTAACCAGTAAGTTCTCAGCAGTTTTGTAATGAAAGCATAATTCCTAAGAAATATCTTGAAACCATTTTGAATCTGTTTTACTTTTTAAAACAATATGATAATCAAATTTAAAAAAATCAATTTTAAATTTTAATAACAGATTTTATAAGAATATTTTTATATTTATCATAGACAAAATTTTAAAAAATCTTTATAATGAGTTTAAATAAACATGAGCGAATGGTGCATGCTCTATTTCAATGGTGCATAAGTGGCATTTATTTATTTGCATTTTTATCTTTGTACTTCCAAGTCCGAGGTATTTTTTTTTTTTTTTTTATGTTGATAATATCTTTGAGATTTACAAAACTCTCAAATAAACAATTTCAAATAAAAAATTGTTTTAGGAGATTTCTTAGTTTTTTACAAACTTTATTATTTAAAAGAAAATTAAAAAAATTAAAGTTTTCTTGCAAACTATAGTCTTAAAACTAGCCAAAATTGTTTTTAAAATTTTTCTTTAATCAATTTTATTAGTTTTCTTAACACGTGAAATAACAGATTTCTTACTGATATATATGTTATCTACATACTTCACATATATTAATCTATTATTATCTAATCTTTTATCTACTTAACTATTCACATATATTAATCTATTATTATCTAATCTTTTATCTACTCAACTATTCACATATATTACTCTACTATCTATTATCTAATCTGTTATCTGCTAATCACATATTATTACATTTCTGTAAGTATATACATATCTGTAAGTATATACATATATACATATCTGTAATTATATACATATCTGTAAAAAATTTGCTGAAAAGTTTATTTATATTAAAGTATTATAATAAATTTTTGTTTTTTAACAATACCTGGTTATTTGTAAATATTTTTGACATATTAGTACATTTAGTTAACTAATTTAAAGAACTATTAGTTAGTGCATTTGTTTTAACTAATTTAAAGAACTATTAATGGGATATCATCTGATTTTTTTGATTTTTACATATTAGTTATCTGCATTATATAAATAGGTTAAATTTGCAGTTTCAAGTCAGTTTAGAAATTATAGCCTTATAAACAACACTTGGTGGCCTTGATTTTCTCATTGGTAAAAATAGACAACTGTAAAACTTTTTTCTAACTGTTAGTAAGTGAATCATTCTTTCTAGAACTATATTCTGGATAGTGTTTTCCTTAAAATAGTGGTTTTTATTATTTTAACTTATTTTATATTAGAAATGAATTAATGCTTTGGAAGATTCTGACTATTACTAAAAAATGACAAAATTAATATCTAATAATTTAATAATAATAATCTCTAACTAAATTTTTTTTTTTTTTTTTTTGTTAATTCACCTCCTCAATGCCGAGGAAGCCACTACAGATGAGGAGGCTACTTATTTGTGGTTAAATAAATGACTCTTATTTTAGGTTTAGCTTGAGAAACATGTGTTTTTATGCACACATGTGCTAGAGTAGATGTTACATTGAAAAAAGTTATTCACAACCTGTATATTCAAAGGCCAGTTGGCAATCAACAATTGATATGTTTTTAGTTACTAAAGAAACTATTAAAAATCTCAG